GGTTAAGCGACTGCCTTTGGCTCAGGTCATGATCCCGGGGTCCTAGGATCAAGTCCCGCGTCGGGCTCCCCACTCTGCAGGGAGCCTGCTTCTCCCTCTACCACTCCCCCTGCTTGTGTTCCCTCTCTCGCTGTGTCTCTCTGTCAAATAAATAAAAATAAAAAAATCTTTAAAATCCATCTTAAAACACTCTGTAAGTATAGCATAGCACAGAATATATGTTACCTGACCTTTGATATAGAATCACCTTAGAAATAAATGCAGCTATAAATCTTGTTGGCCTATTTCTTTCTACCTAAGAGCTCTGTGAAACACCATTATTTCTCTCACTGGGGTTTGATATCTCAGCATCCTCAAAAAAACAGTATTTGCCAACTTGGTTCTACAACTTCAGTTCCACTTAAAAAACAGGATGAAAGTGTACTCTTTCTTAGCATAAAAGAAACATATGCATCATGCCCCAAAGCTATGACAATTAATTTTTACATTTTATCACGGCACCACAGCATCTGGCCAGGATTGATGAACTCTTAGAGTATTCTTCAGTTGGGTCCATCAAAGACATGTTTGTCAAGCACCACTCCTCTAGGCCAGCCCTGAACTGACTGGGAATTGGGGACAGAAGTGAACAATACCCACAGGGAGCCCAGATCTTAAGGAAGACTCAAAGGAAAGCAATTTGAATTCAAAGTGACAAGAGTAGGTCTTAGGAGAGGTCTGTACCAAGTGCTAGCAAGCTACAGGGGGACAGCCTCACCCAACAGGTTTTGTTTGAGCTAGTCTTAAAAGATGGAGGACTCCAGGCAAGCATAAAGGAAAGACACACAAGGCAGAAAATAAGTATGTACAAAGAGCCAGAAGTACAAAAGAATATGGTATATGCTGGGATTAGAAAGCAGTTCTGTGAGGCTCAAGTACTGTGTTTGGATGCACATGGTTGCAGGGAATGACACGCAGGAAAGCGGCCTGTGTGTAGAGGGACCGAGTCAGCTTTATCTTTGTGCCTTTAGCACAGGGTGTGACAAACACTAGGTTCTCAGAAAATGCACATGGAATGATTGGAGTATATGTAATACCTCACATACCAAAGCCTCCTAACCTTACCTAGAACACAGTATGTACACCTTAAATAATAAGTATTTATTAATAACAAAATACTGCATCTGCCAACCGAGCAAGTGGAGTTATATTCTTCGAGATAAAACCTCTAAAAATTACAGACTTCCTTGAAAAGACAATGTTTTGACTGTGGTGTTACAGGTTTTAAAACTATGTTGTGGTTCTTACCTAAAACTCTTAAAACTGACGGTCAATGCTGCATCTGCACATAGGTAATTAACCAAGGTCTCTCTTGATGAGCTAACCCTGTGTATAAAACCGACAGTTTTATGCCTATTTCTTTCCTTTTATGGCCTACGGATATCTATTTTGTCTTTCAAAGGGCATGTGAACTTCAAAATTACCACTGGTAATGGATCCTGTGCACACTTGATTTAAATGGTCAGAGCTTCTAATTTGGTAAAAACAAAATCAATTTGGTAGTTTTCTGATTATTAAGTACTTTTTTTTTTTTTTAGAAACTGGCATCTACGACAGATTTTGTCTTTTAGGCCCCTAGTCATTTGCATTTAAAAAGAAAACAGTGTGTATCCTAAACCAAAGTCAGTTAATCTCTACAATCTTTTTTCTTCCCAATTACTGTGAATGAGCATCCTCTCAGAACGCAAGTGATGGTGACTCTTATTTCTGCCTCCTAAAGACATGTCTCAGCTTCGCAGAGTTTTTTGTTTTTTTGTTTTTTGGGTTTTTTTGGCTGTACAATGGAACTTGGATGCATTTTAAATTAACTTTCTCTAGGAATCAAAGGTAATCATTATTTCTCTTTATGATCCACATGAATATTCTCATTATTTTTTTCTTTTCAAGTTTAAGATTAGTTTTGAATGCCCTTATATCTCTGCCCTTTTTCAGAGTAACCTCCAAGGACCCCAGCTTGCACTAAGAGGATTGAGGAAATGTGTCCACAGCCTCTTCTTGCTGAGCTGACCCAAACACATAGAAGAACACGATATGAATCAGCAACCCCACTTCCCGTAAGTGTTGGTCCAAGAATTAGTTTTGACCTTGAGTGTGCTGTTTCTTTTCTCTGGCCAAGAATAAGGAAAATTGCACTAAGTTTCTGCTTCAATATTTGAGGTAGCATAAGCTTTATCACCTCCTGGTCTTCTGGGATCCTGGGTAAGTCCTATCCTATGTGATCTTCAGTTTCCCCTGGTAGAAGATGGGAGCATGCTTTTCTCCAGAGGACACCATGAAGGTGGCATGGAATCCTGTCAACAAAAGCCTTCCTTTACAAAGGCTGTGCATACATGACATCGCATTGTTAGTCCCTGCTCATCTTTCTGTTTTATTCTAATTGGCTTTGCTTTCTCTTCCTTTTTGTGGTTACATTTTTTGTTTCCATAAACCATCAAAGTTGGAAGGAATGGCATCTAGATTGCCAATGAAGTCAGGCAACCCTTTCTCTAGGTACAACAAGCTGTTTCCAAGATGGGTCACTTTGGTCTTTTGATGGGTCAGTAATAGTCTTTCAGCTTGGTGAAATTGACAGGGAAGACTATCAGTTACTCAGCAAGGCTGCTGTGGGACAGATAGGCTCATACCGCCTGATACATGAACCACTCCATATGATTAACTTCGACAGGTAACTCCACATTGGCTGGCAAGCTGAAGAGCATTTTAAGTACAAATAATCATTCTGGGGTGTGTCTTGAGTGACAGAATAATTACTGAGTGGAACAGAATCCCTTAATCTTTGTTTCCTTTCGAGGCCAGGATACTACAACAAAATCAATTAACAAAACCCCTCAGAGATCTTTGTTGATACTTTGAAGTTTAGTATTTATCAAGCTTATATCAAATATAGAACTTCCTTGAAGGGCTGGGCCGATTTATCTCTGTCTTCAAAGGGCCTCACATGGTGCTTTATAGCAATTTAATAATTAATAATAATATCACATGATGAGGATAATAATTGTACCATATTATCCCTATTGCTACAGACTTACAAAGTGCTCAACCATCCACTGACACAGGACTTATTGTCCCCACTTAACACATGGAGAAACTGAGGCTCAGAGCAGTGCAGCAACTTCCTAGTGACACACGAGTGCCCAGGGGCACAGGGCATGTCTGAACAGGGGCTTCTGCCCAGAGTCCTGTTTAATCAACTTTTCTGAAATTAAATAAGATGGAACACAACATTTCAGTCTACATAATCTATCTCATCAACATTTGTTGCTCTCATCGGTTGATTCTAGAAGCCCTCGAGGGCTTCAAGGCAGAAAGCATAATCGGAGTTCAGAGACGTTTTGAAGCCCTCTTTCGTTTTTTCTTCCTGGATGGTACTGCAAATGATAAGACAATTTGGTACTCTTTCACCTATTCTTAGATTCTTTTTGTGGTCTGAAAAATTAAAGACTGTAGCGGTTACCTCCAAGAACATGGTTTTCCAGAGTTGAAAAATGTTTAACTCTTGAGAACTCATTGAAATCCACTGAATAACACACTCAAGGCCTACTGGTCACTCCGGGCTGAGTGCAGCCTGTTCAGAGTTAAAATCCCAAGTCATCAGATATTGATGGCTGCAAGCAAGACTCCACCTCCGCATTCGGTGGCATGAGAACCTCAGCAAATGAAATTAAGCTCAGAAAAGGATTTGCTCGCATTAAAAAATGGCACTTCCCTGGCACAAACATGCAGAAAGCTAATTCCCACCATAGTTTCATCACCTCTTCCTTCTCTCTCTGCTTTTGCCAGAGTGAAGCTCTATAAAGAAACTGGCCACCAGAGTCATTATCATCTGTGTTAGCTGAAAATTTGATTAAGCTGGCCTCCCAGGGTTAGCATGAAAAATTTAGATTTTTGTTATAGGAACTTAATTTCTCTTTTCCTCATTTTGGTCATGTTTACAAATTTTATTTGCATTTTAATTTGTGGTAGTTTGCCAAAGTCCAGACTGAGACTTTAGCTGTTGTTTCTATTCAGGTGAAAAGTGCAACCACAAGTGGCCATCTGCACGGGCATACAGTCAGGCCATTGTCCAAGGCAAGTATTGTTTTGCATTCTGAGCAAGCTTTGCTACCCAGCCCACCAAGGAATATAATGAATCCAATTTCCAGGACAAGCTTAGCCCTAGGTGGTCCTCCTCACATACCAGCAATGTCCCTCTCCTCTCAATATTCCCAAAATCAGGAGAAATGACACTAAAGGAGTCTTCAGACCTTAAGCCCATTAGAAACCTGTCTAGGGTTTAGGAAAGACATCAATACCAGCAAATGAGGAAAGAGATCCCTACAGTGATCTACTTTGATGGGACCCTTTCAAAGCCAGTCCCTCCCTGGGTATTGGGTTCTCTGTCCATCCTGGGTAAAGTGGCAGGTATCCTACTTGACTCCCCTACAAAGTAAAAGAAAGCGAAATAGGATCAGCATGTGAGACCCCACCATTTCTGCCAAGTGGACAAAATGCTGACCCTTTAGAAAAGGTTATCTCTCTGTGCCTCAGTTTCTTCATCTGTAAAATATAACCTCATAGTTTTCATAGTTGTGAAAACTACATAAAAGTAAAGCACTTACAAGAGAATTTGGGGACACCTGCCTAGCTCAGTCGGTTAAGTATCCGACTCTTGATCTCAGCTCAGGTCTTGATCTCAGGGTTATGAGACCAAGCCCCTACTTAAAAAAAGGAAAAAAAAAAAACAAAAAACAGAGTTTGGCACAATAGTTATTCAAATGTTAGCCATCAGTGTTGTTATTAGGTCACCTAACATTAACTGAATTTTTCTATTTGTGTTTCCTCTAGGAAAGAATTTGGAGATTCCAATCTGATCCTTTTCCATGTGATCTCTTGTACCCTTTCTATTTCTGTACCACACATAATAAAGTTTGAGAGTGTCAAGTAATCCATCTGTATCTGATTTTTGTCTGGAAAGACTTGCAGGATTTTCAGATTGAAATATCAATACATCTCGTCTTGTCTTTCACCTGTTTAGTATTGATCATTTCTGGAGCAACGGTGTCTTAAAGCCAAAAGCTCACTGTGCTATCAAGAGAGAGACCTGGGAAGCCACATTTAAACGCACTTTGCTTCCATTTAATTTCATAACACAGCACATATTTCCTTTCCATAAATACATTCAACACGGTCACTACCATGGCAATGTTACATTAAAATATTACTGTTAGTACTCAGATATTTAAGGAAATACCAAGGATCAATTTTAAAATTCTGTTTATGGCAGAAAATCTGCCAAAAAGAAATCTTTTGAAATGCACTTCAGTTTATACTTCAGTCTAATTTATATCTTTTTTTTCCTACCCTGGTGCTCATCAAAATGTCACAAAGTTCCCAAGGGTGCTGATACACATCCAGGTTTGGAAACTTTTTTTTTTTTCTTTAAACCCTGCCTGATAATCAACACATACAATATAGTTTTGATGTGATTGTGGTCATTTATACATCAGAGTGTTTTTCAGGATATTAAAATGATTTTTTTTTAAAAAATATTCAGGTTTATCACACACATGGCATCGACCATGTTCCCAGGAAATCATTTCTAGCTGTGTGCTAGCACTGTGAGAAGCTATTTCAGGGTCTCCTTTCAAGAGAGTCTTCCAGACTGGTGTTGCAAGCTAAATAAAGATGAGGCTAATTGCTGAGCTCTATTACTGGAGCCAGAAAACATAGCACCATCTTTGTTTAAGGCTGAATCTCCATGACAACCCCAGATAAGAAGCTGGGTTAGTGTTTCTTGTTCCTGCACAGGCCACAGGTCATGGCCTTCTGTAGGCACGGGGGGGTGATACATCTTTATGCAACAATTCTAAGCTACTCAGTAGGCCACCTCTGAATTTAATTAGCCCAGAAGTTCTCAAAGAGATGAAATATTTTTAAATGTTCATTGATGCTTTTCTACCCAACCAGGTAACAAAAAAGGTCAGGATAACCGTTGTTTCAATTACCACTGCTGTTAACGAATTCAATGGGATCTTATAGAGAGGCAGCCTGGTGCACAGGTTAAAACTGAGGGTGCCGAACACTTACTTCTAAATCCAACTTTGCCCTGCTCTAGATTGCAATGTGGGTGCCTTGCTTACTCTCTGTGTATTGATTTCTCATCTACAAAAAGGGTGTAATATTAGTAACTACCTCATCAGGTTGTGATTAGGATTAGTGTACATAATATGCTTAACACAATGCTTGGTATATAATATAATGCTCCATAATTACTTGTTACTCTTCTTATGAATATCACCAACTAAGCAGTAGCCGATTGGTTCATATGGTAGCCACTAGCCACACAGAGCTATTTATACTAATTAGAATTAAATAAAATTATTTTGTTCTTATAGCCACCTTCCAACTGCTCAGTGGGCACACCTAGCTAATGACTACCATATTGGATGGCAAGATCAAAACACTGCCATCATCACTAAAAGTTCTGCTGGATAGTGCTCTGGGCCATAGCCTAGAGAAAGTAAAAAGGAGGATAGGAATGTCCTTTATAGAAGTGTTATCATTTGTTCTTAGCACTTTCCATTGATTGAAAATAGTCTCAAGACCCTCTCTGAAGGCATTGGAATCCATTTCTTGTGTAGCATCTAGTAAAGAGTGGTTTACACTGTGGAATATACAATAAATACTGTGAAGAACAACAACAAAATTTCCATAAATGGTTTTCTCTCGGGTGGGAAGGTTCCCCATTCTTTTATACTGTTCTGTATTTATTGGTTCTCTAGCTGCACATAATTCTTAAAAATCAGGTAAGGTGCAAGTCATCACCTGTTTTATAGTAGAACCCTGTAGTTAGTGGAGAGGATGATTTTCTTAATCACCACCCAAATGAAAGCAATGTACATATTCATTTGTCACACCAGTGTTGCTCCACAGTGAAAAAGTCAACTTAAATATTCAAGGATGTGAGCACAGGCCTTCACCCAATCCCAAAAAGCACACTTCCAGACACTTTTCACTTGTGATTACCCAACTTTGCAATTCTGGTGTTGGCTGAAAAATGATTGGTCTTTCCCATCAGAGTCAAATTGACATGTCCTAGGATTGATTTGTCCCATGCATTGATACTTGATTTGCCCTATGCATTGGTTAGTCCTTGGAAACAGTGTCTGGCAGGTGCTTTGTAAATGTTTGAGAGTAAGGAAAAAATACAAGCAAAAGACAAAAGATGTCTATCATTTCCAAAAAGTAGAAGTTTTATGTGAATGAGGAACAGTTAGTGATGTTATGCATCATCTAAAGGAGTCTCTGCTATCAATTTATATTCTAGAGAACTTTTACTGCAAAACTAGCATAGAAAGCTAGTGCCCGTGTAACATACTGAACCCCAGAGCAGCTCCATCAACTGATTTAGTATACTACAGCTAAAGAGAGACCTCTCCTAGCTTCTCGGATGCTCATTCTAGAATTCATGTAGATGTAAGATGGCTGCATAAGGGAGAGGAAAAATAAAAAACTGCCTCTTTCTGTTTCTGAACTTTCCAGACAAGCTATATATTGTCTAACAGAAAAAAAATTACAAGTGATTATATTGGTTGCTAAATATTGTCTGCAGAACAGTATAATGAGTCAATGTTCCAGAAGTGCAGAAAAAGATAAAAGGAAAAATCCACAGAATTTTTAAAAATTTCATCATCAATTAACTGTGATAATCAACTATCTCTTATATATAACATTTTTTAGTTTTATTTTGCCATGTGCTTGCACATACAGCATCTCGTTTCATCCCCAAGGCATCACACTGAGGTAGGTGGCATCATCCTCATCTATAGATGTACAACCTACAGCTCGTGGGGGTGAAGAACATCATCCTTGCTTTTAGTGACAAGGTAGTTTAGAAGCCATTCTAACCCCATTTTACACACACCCATATCTCTTTAATGAGCTGAAATATCTTTAGACTAACAAGTTCATTTTTAAGCCGGGGGGCAGGGCAAATCCCTCATTATAGAATATTCAGATTTACAGCACAGTCTGAAAAACAAAACAACAGCAACAAAAACCTCTCTTTCCTTCTACCTGTAGGTGATCATCAACAATGAGTAGCCACTGGTCACCTTATCTATGGAAAGGTAAACAGCTCAAGCTAGAATGGGAAATAAAGATAGATGGCCATAGAAGAAGTAATGAATTATTAATACCAGATAAAATGTAAGCTGTATATCTCCCCGAGGCCAGGAGGCTGGCATGGCTGGAGAGGAGTGTGTTGTGTCTGTTGGGAGGGAAGAGGATTCTGTCTTGCACTTACTTTAGCTTCTGCTGAGTGGGTTATAAAGACACTGCATATGCCCCATTTAAATCCAGGCTTCTTTTTTATAAGCTTGCAAAGCTTACAAAAGAGGTTAAACCAAGTCTGAGAAGAAAGATGAGTTTACTGTTTGTCTACTAGTCTTCTTGTCAATAGAGCCTGACCCCAAACCAGCAGACATGATTTATGGAGTATTTACTATTGTGTGGGACTGGACATGTAACGCTGAGCTAGAACTAACTGCAGCTCTTCCTGGAGGTCACAACCCAAAGGAGAAGGAAGAACAACTCTTTGTCTGACGTGATTCATGGATGCATTACTAGAAGTATGTGCTGAGGACTAAAAGTAGCCATTTGCTCTCATGGATGGCCAGGGGACATTCTAACTGTGGCTTAAACAATGAACCAACATGGGAGAGGGTGTTCCACACAGACAGATCATCCTAAGCAAAGTCCAAGTACGTGAAATGATGGCAACAATATCAGCGATGATGCTGGGTAGCAGGTATTGAGTACCTCCCATGCACAAGCCACTATTTCAAGTACTTAACATGTATTAACTCATTTAATCATAGTATCCTTATTGTATATGCATCATTAAGCCCATATTACAGATGAGGAAAGTGAGGCACAGAGATTTTAAGTAACTTCCCCAAAGGCACACAGCTGACAGGTAGAGGAACTTGCATGTATGCTTAGTCATCTGGACTCAGAGGTCCTGCTTCTGACCAATGTAGTGCCTTCCAGTGATAGGTCATTGAGGAAGAGCCATTCTCCTGCATAGCT